TCACCCTCTCCCCCCCGCCACCTCCTCCGCCGCCTCCGGCCGTGCTCGCCAAGCCCAAACTGTGGTCTCTGGCAGAGATAGCCACTTCCTCGGACAAGGTCAAGGACGGGAGCGAGGGCTCTCCGTGCCCACCGTGCCCAGGGCCCGTGGGCGGGCAAACCCTTGGTGGCAGCCGCGCGTCTCCGGCCCCAGCCCCTGCACGCTCGCCCTCGGCGCAGTGTCCCTTTCCTGGCGGGACCGTGCTGTCCCGGCCTCTCTACTACACCGCGCCCTTCTATCCTGGCTACACGAACTATGGCTCCTTCGGACACCTTCACGGCCACCCAGGGCCAGGGCCAGGACCCACAGCGGGTCCTGGCTCTCATTTCAATGGATTAAACCAGACGGTGTTGAATCGAGCAGACGTTTTGGCTAAAGACCCGAAAATGTTGCGGAGCCAGTCTCAGCTAGACCTGTGCAAAGACACTCCCTATGAATTGAAGAAAGGTATGTCCGACATTTAACTCGGGTGCGGTACTCCCGGACTTTGCTAATTTATTAAAACCATGGCCTTGGCAGTTATTTTTCCATCACCAAGAGAGAGAAAGAGAAAAAAAAAAAAAAACTACCCCTCTTATTCAGAAGTTTATAGTTTATGGAGGTGGATGACATAAAAATGTATACATCTCCACACTCGAAAAAATGGTTTTAGCCAACTGAAAAGAAAAAAAAAACTTAAGATTTGTATTAAATCTTATTCTGTATATTTAATGTAGCATTTTGTATTTAAATTGATAATTCAGTATCTTTGAAGTAAATTATGAGATCAAGACACCTGTACAGGCATTTAATGTTTTTTGTAATATAAATATATACATTTGTGTTCCCCCAAACTGTTTCATAGTTTAAAAATACAAGTTTAATTTAATTTTTTACACCTATTGATTTTTCTGGGTATGAGCTAAAGTATTATTACAGAAAGGAAACAGGTTATACTCTTAGATTTAAAAAGTAAAAGAAACTGCAGTGGTCTTTGTAAAATGCAAAATATTTAATTAAAGGAGATTTTAACATAATCAGAGCCACTCATTACTTCTCAGAAGCTTCAATAAATTGTCAATTGCCTTGGTCAAAAGGTGCAACTGTAACTTTTTTCAAAGTGGGGAGTGAAAGGTGCTGTCCACAGATACTCAGTGTGCCTGGGGAAACCGTGATTAGGCCACTAACCCGGGGGAAGCTGCTCAGTCTGGGAATGCAGATTTGAATCTCTGTAGAGGGCTGCTTGAGGGGGAGATTGGACCCTGGAGGAGCGAGAAGAGAGAGACCCAAGTGTGTGCCAGAAGGGAGAAAAGATGGCAAACCAAGGCAGAGGCACGCACCACCCGAGAGCCATCGCTTAACCTAATTACTTCCAATCAGTGTCGTGTTTTATGCAAAGCAATCAGCTGGTGAACTTTGCTAATGAGTTCGATTTTATGCCGGATTTAGCCCTTATTACTATTTCAAAGGTGCTGTTGGCTAATGCGGGCAAGGAGCGTTAGGGGGATGCCAAATGGGAAGGCTTCCCCAAGTCACAGTCTCCTCTACCCCTTCAAAATTGGGCATTGAGCTCTTCTTTGGATTTGATTAAATCAGTGACTGTTCCATCCGCGCCCGTGAGGGTGGCCTGCGGCCTTGTGGATGCAGGCGCAGCCTACCAACAGGGACCACAAACCCGCAACTCGACGGTTCCCCCCTTTCACAGGTAGGTGTCACACTTGTCCTGAATTTCGAGCCTGCATTTTGCAGACTCTGAGATGGGAGCGTATGCCCAAGAGGGGTGGGAGGTGGAGGGAGCATCATAGTCACCAGCGGCAAGGAACACAGCCCCCAAAGGGAATCGGAGGCCCCTCCCCCCACGGGCTCCCTTTTGGATAAGTGGCTTCAAAAGCTCTAGGCCATTTGCGTAGATAAAGAGGCCATTGTGGACTTGATGAGGCTTGTCATCGCTTTAGCACTTTTCCCAGCTCAGATTGCTACAAAAGTGTTTTTGAGGGTTTATTTTTCTCGTTTTAGTCCGCTTTATTTCAGCTCAGTGAAAACTTGGGATTCATCTCGGTACCAAATGATCAAGGGACAGCACCCAGAGCCACCACCCACCAATCCCGGGGTTCGGGTTTGGTTATCCTGTTCGATTCTCCATTTTGCACCTGAGATGTGGAATCGCCAAC